CCCGTGCGTGCCGCAACCACATTTTCTACGGGTTTGAGGTTGGGAGACTCCGACGGCCTGTCCAACCGGGACACCCCATTCTCGACCCTCCAGTCGGTCGCCTGCTTTCAGGCGCGCCTCGGATCACTGTCCGCAGATCGTCCCAAACCCTCCAACAGAGAAGCGGCCCCAAACGTGCACCCTGCCCGGGTGGATGTAGGCGAAGGGCAAGGCGATTAAATTCTGTTGAGATCGTTTCTCTGTATTAAATGAAATTAAATGAAATTAATTGATGAAATTAATTAACTGATGAAATTAAATGCTTCCTAACGTCTCTCGTTGAATACCTTGAGACCCTTCAGGGCCTTCGCATCATTCAAGGAGAGATTGAATAAATCGAAGAATTTCTCTTCTTCGCGTTGCCCTTTCGCTGCAATCATCAGAACACTGGCAGTGGAACTTTCAGGAAGAAAAGGACATTTCCATCTTTTTCCAGGAATATGAAAAAAAAATTCGAAGACAAGGATACGAGAGAGGCTAAATTATTTTCCCAAAATGAGGCACGGAAAAGCGTTGTCATATATTGTTTTCTCCGAGAGAGATCGGCCAAGAAATCGCCGCATTCATGTAAATAGGCATTTTCGTTATATTTATATCACGAATATAATATATTTATATTACGAGTTTACCCCCTTCTATGTTCACTCCAACGGCTGAACGAATGAAATCCTATTCTGTAGTCGGCCGAAAATCTCCCTGTTTCTCGGTGTGGTCGAGCAAATATTCATGGTTTCATGCCTCTTAAATCTGATTTAGATCGATAAGGAAAAAAAAAACCTAGATGGTCTCCACACGACCCCGCAAAAGCCTTAATATTCCTCGAAGGAAATTTTCAATGAGAAAGACGGCAATAAGAAGAAGAAAACCGTTTATATCGTACGTGTTTTGTATCATCGTGGTACCAGCTGAATAGCAGAGGAGCAAGCTGAATAGCAGAGGAGCAAGGAGTCAGAGGTGTCGATCCGATCCTGGCTCGCATCTGTCAGCGTTGATCTCCGGCGTCCTTGCATCGTGGATTCCCTTTTTTCCCACCTCCATCTTTCCTCATCTTTCCCCTTTTGACATTTTTTACATATACACCCAGTTCGCGCGGCTCGTCCATATGATTCGCTCTGAAAGGTGCCTGGATCCCCGCCAGAGGACCACGCGGGGTCGCATGCCCTGCATCACTCCCGAGCGGCTGGGTCCCTCGATCGCTCCCGAGTGACTGAGTCACCTTTTACCGAGTTGCGTGCTCCAGCTTCGTCTGTGGTGGGGCGTGTGGTGGGATGTCGTACGTGCAGGTGGTGAATGCCAGCTTCGGGGAGCTGGACGACGTCGAGACGGTGCTGATCTCCTTCGGCATCTTCCCAGCGCTCGGACTGGCCGTGACAGCCGTGAACCTCATCATCGTGGTCGTGGCCATCCGCGCGTTGAACCGCTATCGCCCCACCACCATCCTCTGCTCCCACAAGAACGCCTTCCGCTACATCCTGAACCTCGCGCTGAGCGACACCCTCGCGGGGTCCGTCGTCGCGTTCGCCTTCCTCTATCCCGCCGGATCTCACTCCCGGTGTCTCTTCAAAAGCGGTAAGCAATTTCTTCTGTGACTCAGCGGGAAGTTAAAAGGGCAAATGTCAGTTTTCCTTTCGATGCTAATGAACTTCATTGGCTGGAGAGAGGTCGAGAGTGTCATTGTTAAAGCTTGACGCCATCACTTACAGGCTTCTAGATATTTCGAGGAAAAGCTTTCCTATCTCTTGGATCCCTTATCCTGCATATCAAGAGATGAACGGATATACCGCCTTTCCGTGGGTCGAGTCGGTGTTAGGAAATATTCTCTTTCACTGGATTCCCTCCCTCTGAAAATCTGGATCCCCGGTCCTGATATTTCCATACATTTTGTCTTTTTTTCAATTGAATTTTTTGAATGGGGTTCTCGCACCTATGGCAATATTTTTTTTTTATTTATAACGGATTTTCATTACTAGACGCATGGAACTCAACTTCACTTGAACGGTTAGGATTATTTTTAGGATTTTTAGGATTTTTATTGCATAATTTTCACCCTGGACCTGATTGAGGAATAATCTGAGATTGTTATTCTTATAGGTCCTCATTAAATATCGTGCACAAAATCGTTTTGCTACGACAGATGTAGGATTTGTAATAAAAAAATAATGGCTCGGACTAAACCCTTAGATGGTCGTGCGCTTTCAGAGCGATTTTCGGTGATCGAGAAAACATTTAAAATGGTTTAAGCTCACTTGAAAAATTACTTGACATAACGCTGCATAAACGACGTAACGATAACTCTGTAACGATAACTATTAAGGAAAGGGGCTCGGCACGAGTCTTGTGATCCCTAGAATCTTTTTTTTTAAAACTATATTTGCTTAATAGTAACTGGTGGGAGCGATCATGTGAATGTCTCAGATCATGGCATTGATTGCTGTCTCCAGGCCCCGAGAGCCTGGTGGTTCCAGGAATCAGCCGGTTTCGTGCTTGGTTCCACGAAAATGGTTATATAAAAGGTTTCGCCAGAAGTGGTTCCAATCCGAACCTTTAATTTTAGAGACTAGAACCTTTTTTCATTATATTTGCTTCATAGTTCGGAGAGATCGTGTGAATGTCCTAGGTCGTATTGTTCGTGTTCTGCCTGTCAAAGCCAATTGGCAATTCGTGGCAATTCCAGCAATCAATTTCATTTCCTTCACGAAAATGGCTCCATGAAGATTTCACTGGTAATGGTGGCATGTTTGCGCATTGGCAAGTTCTATCGTATGAAATTAAAATGGGGTTGTCGCATCGACTAAGCGTCAGCTTTCAGGGGCAATGTGCAATGCCTGTGGAATGACTCATTTTAGTGTGAAGCGGGTATGGACATCTGGCAATTTAAGTTTAACCCTCGAGCCAAATGAACTGTCAGTTTCGCCTCGGATGAGGTTTCGGATGCATCGAAGAACATTGCATGGAATGAGAGAAAACCCTTGAGAGAGAGACCGAATTCATGCCGATGGGATTTGTGGGCAGCGTACGTCGACTTCAGTCTCTTCCCTGCAACTTGCGACGCAGTCGTGACCGACATGGGGTTGGTCGTGACCGACATGGGGTTGGTCGTGACCGACATGGGGTTGGTCGTGACCGTCGCGAACTCGGTCATTGCGTTCGTGGTTTCGCGACCGCTCCGTCAGGCCACGGGTAACGAACGTTGCTTCATGCAGAGGCGAGAGAGTGACAGGAGCTCGTAAACTCGGTATTTTCCATGTCGAGGAAGGCGGTCGCAGTATGTCCAGTGCTGTGAGGAAGAGCGGTTGTTCTTTTCCATCAGTGGGACGTTTCTCGTGCTAGCAGGAAGAAGTAATTTTTAAAATTGGTCTACAATTGGTTGGTTCCGAAAGTTTCTGACCCCCCTACCCTCCCACCCTGCATAAAATGAGGCTAAATGCTATGCCAGCTACTGTGAAAACATTTAGCTTATCTACACCGGCTATACGAAGATCCGGGGTTTCTACTCAGGCCGATAAAAGGCTGTGCATGACGGAGCCCCATGCCGCGCGTCTGGCTCCACGCCATCGAAGAGACAGGGAAGGAATTCAGATCTAGACGAAGTTGACCAAAGCAAAGCGACGGAGGCCATCCGTCCACTGAGGGTTTCGGGTCGCCGGTCCGAAGTTCCTGGAGGTTTGCGAACGCCGTGTCGAGTACTGTACAGGTACTGTATTTGTGCAAGAGTTGGTACCTTGGGTATGCTTGGCTGTCTGGAATGGAATCAAATCAACATATTTCCGTTTTCATTTGAGTGGGTCAGAAATTTTCGGAACACCCTGTATGTGAGACTTAGAGGAGTATTTAGGCTTTATTTCTCCGAGACAGTGCCGATAGACCAGCAGAATGGGGACCAGATAGGAATAGAACTACAGAGGAATCGAATAACTTAAGCAACACCAAAGCGTTAAGAAGGTTCCTCGTAGTAAACAGGCCTCCAAAAGATTTTACGGAAAACCTTATTTCAGCAGTAAGAAGTCTTCAGACAGCTTCGAATGCAATTGGTCTATGGAAATTTTATGCTCAACATTGAGTCCTTATGTAGTTTTCCTGACATTAAGATATCCCGCGAAGATCAATTTCTTGCGTATGAAAGCACGTTATTCGCAAGCATTCGATGGGTCTCCATTAAATTTGGAGTAGGTCCTTACCCCTTGCGAGACTCTGAGCATTCCCCAGTTTCCACGTCCTATCCGCATGCAGCGAAGCTTGATACTGATGGCTGTTGGTTGGTCGTTTCAGCCTTAGCCGTGACCTCGGGGATGGTCTCTGCCCTCACCATCATCCTCATCAGCATGGACCGCTACCTCTATATCATCCACCCGATGAGTTACCAGACGTGGATGTCGCACGAGAGGGTGAAGGCGGGGATCGTCGCGTCGTGGTTGATGTCGCTGCTCATCGGGTGTGCGCCGTTCCTCTGGCATCGGAGGCCGTGGCCGGGTCACTGTCTTCACTTCCTCGATCTGCATCGTCCGGGTTACATTCTCTTCCTGGCTCTATTGCACTTTGTGGCCATGTTCCCGCTCGTTTTCCTCTATGTCGCCATTTTCAAGACGGCCAGGACGCAGCGAGAGCAGTTAAAGTCCGCCATCATCCCTTCTACAGTTGGAATACCCAAAAACTTTCACTCCCTCAGCACCATGATGAAGTTTGAAGCTGCCAGGAAGCTCAGCATGCACCTCGCCGATATGCCGGACCCACAGCCGTTGCTGGAGATGGAAATGCTGTCGTTCCAGCGCCAATTGAGTTCTAACCGCCCGACGCTCTCCGAACCCCATCTCTCGCTGTCGATGCTAGAAGGGTCTACGAAAGAGGACGACTTCCAGAACGGCTACAAAGACCACGCGGTACCGTTGACCCGCCAGACGAGCATGCACAGCCGCTCCCGAAGTCAAGGCCACATCCGCGAGCATCTGGAGGAAACGAAGCATTTAGCCGACCATCATCCGTCCTTGACCAATTTCCTCGACCGCGTCCTTTCCGTCATCCAGAGCACTCACTTCGTGCAGGAGGTGAGGGCTGCGAGGACTGCCTTCTACATCCTCGGCTCGTTCATCTTCTCGTGGCTGCCGTACTGCATTTCCTCGGTGGTTTATGTGGCGTCCGGGTGCTACGCGAGCCGGTGCGTGGACCTCAACCGGGAGATGGCGCCGTATTTCCTCTTCCTCGGCATGCTCAATTCGCTCTTCAATCCGTTCATATACGCCTGGGGGTTCAAGGAGTTTCGGACTCACGGGTCGCAATGCTGCAAGAGGGCGAGGAGGTTCGCTTGGAAGAGGTCAGAGAGCGTGTGACGGCGGTGTGACTCTCTCGCCTGTCGGGCGTCGATCTTGGCTGAATGGGGGAATGATAGGCTGGTCGTGGGACTCCTGAGCGGTGCCAAAATTTAGGTGTGCCCTGAATGCCACGATAAACACCAAAAAAATGACTGGCTTTGCCTGGTGGATCGCTTTGAAAGTAGCAGGCGGAAGTTCGTAATTTTTATCGAATCTATTACAGCAGGTGGAAATAATAAAAAAGGGACGTGACAGTTAATGCGAAATCCAATATGGAAACCGATATATGAATTATGTGTTTCAACTTATTAAATAAAACTTTTCCCCGGAAGCATCGATTTCCCACGCTTCTTCTCTGCCTCCCAAAACCTTAGGAACGGAATCCGAGCCTGGTATTAGCGAAATGTTGCCAATACATGCGAAGCGTCTTTCGCCGGATGAGACGATGTGCTAAGACGATAAGCTGAGACGATAAGCCGTCGTAAGCAATAACATTCGGGTCGAAGGGCACGGTGCCGACATATTCCATCGCGATGACGGACGACACGTCGTTCCCGATGATCGGTTGGAAAAAACTGGCGCATCCTGCACCATTCCATCTCTTCTCGCCAATTTCCGTGTGGGAATTTCTTCCCCGTACACTCTTAGAAAAAGGGGAGGGATTTTTCTCAAAAAAGAGAGTGAAATAGCTAACTCCAGTTTCACCCCCCTTTCACTCTGGGAAAGGAACTAATTTACTCTATCATGAAGGAGTAAAATTGCGCTCCTCCTCTGTGAGTAAAAACGCTTCCATCAGAAAGTGATAGGGATGTCGTGCAAATACGAAAAATTCATTATATACTGTGTGCCGCTATCTCTCTCGTACATGCGTTGACCTACCTCTGACTGTACTGATTACACTGCACGTCAGAGGGTGGACCACCTCTTATAGGTTCCGTGGAGTAATCCGGGATGTCAGTCCTTATCACCTCATTTATTGAGGCACAGTCAAACAGTCGGGACAACTCGCGTCGGCACCTTTGAACTCAGTGTGACCCGCTCGAACTCCCTGCCATCTGGTGGCTAGGCTGTATCAACTACCTTCAACGGAATATGGCGCTCTCCTTGGTATCCACGAGAATATATAAAGACACGAGCACGAGCATTTCTATCGTGCCTACTGTTCACCCGCTTAACCTAAGCTATAAAAAAAAACTTAATGAGGCCTGACCTACAGCTAATTTCTTTATTTTCTCTTAACATTCCCATTTGAGAAGAACTATTCCAAATATTATTTCTGAATGATTGAGGATTGATAGCATGTCTTCGCCTATGAATAACTCCATACACCAAGAAAGCAACTTTGCCGGTGTAGTGGGCTTGTGTTGGTCTTCACAGTTCCTTTCAATGTTCAGCTTCCAATGATTGCAAAAAACATCGGTAATAAATTTTTATTAAGACAAATGAAGGCAATGATACTGAAGAATAATGCAATATCTTTTCAATTCCGGTTTTTCCGGTTTTTTCTTGGAGCAGCACGAAGATCCCTGTTGGCGAATTTCCACACATAAAAAATCCTCACCTTCACAAAAAACCTCAGGAAAGGGTACAGATCTGGAGGCCCTCAACCAACTTAGTTACTATCCCCTTTTCATGCATTTGAAGTTTGAAAATTTTCATGAAAAAATCCTCACACCTCTCCAAGAAACATAGCTGCAAAATTGGCGAGGGATGCTTCAAAGCTATGGAGCAGGTACTGCACTCATGAAAAAATAAGAATTTCCTCAAGAAATACCCAGAAACATAGAACATTCCATTAGCTTCCAATATGTTAAATACACCTTCCTGTAGACCACTGGGAGAAAATACTGGCAGAGGAGTTTCCTGGTTGATAGGAAGCATTCATGCGGGCAATAGGTTTTCCACAAAGGTCATCACGGCCGCAATTCTGAATCCACTGCTTGCATCTGAAAAAGGGCACATTTCAATATGAGCCTCACCCATCATACACATACACAAACATATATACAGTATTCATATGCTCGTCCATTGGTCTGCATAAAGCGTTCAAAATTAGGCCTATATTTTCGCTCATTCGCCCATGAGCTATTACTTCTATACTCTTACTATGAGGCCTATTACTTAGACCTAAGAAATCTATTTTACTAGGTCTACATATGCTCACCGATCTGGGTCTTTCGGGAAGCGAAAGAACTTCGTGCTGTGTCCATCTGCCCTTTCATTCCTGTGGCATCCGGCTGCTGAACAATATCTCCCTCCATGAACCTTTATTTCGCGATCAGATTTCACTGTTCAATAGGGTATGCCGGCACAAAGTATGGTAGTCGCCATCATGACATGGTGTTTAATGATACATCCAAGCCACCAGATGGCAATGCGGTCAACTCGGTCACACGCTTACCCTCCAGGTGTCCAGGTTGTATATTTCTAGACTGTGATTAAGGTATGGGGGATTGAAATTCACGGGCGTTCCAAGGGGGTTCTCAAAAGGAATATGAGCTTGTTTATGGCATGGACTCTATGAATACGTCTTGAATATGTGGATAACAAATGATGAAATTCCGTATTTATTGATTCCTATAATGAGACTAGGCGAGACATATGGCAAGGTACAAAACAATCCTGCGAGGGACGATTCCAGGGAAAGAGGGAAGGGAACTTTTGTGTACTGTGCGAAAAGCGAGACCCTTACCTCCATCTAGTGGCCCGGCGAAGAACTTCAAGGTGCTCACTTCAATGCGAGCGATGAGGGAGCATTTGNAAGGGAACTTTTGTGCACTGTGCGAAAAGCGAGACCCTTACCTCCATCTAGTGGCCTGGCGAAGAACTTCAAGGTGCTCACTTCAATACGAGCGATGAGGGAGCATTTGGTGAGTAATAAAAGAGTAAATTCGAAAAGCTCACGGTGTGCTCACTTTTTACTCCCCAAACGCTCGGAATTTTCTAAGAGTGTAGATGAATTTCAATTTCCCATTTAAGGATAGGATCCCAGATTCTGTTTTGACCGATCATTCAACATCTTGTTTCCGTATGTTAAAATATTCCATACGGCATCAATCGAGTGGACAAAACAAATTTGAAAGGACGCTACGAATTGTTCTTCCTGTCAAAATTAGTGGATCCCTCTGAAACGAGTTTTGTTTGTAGGGAGTGGAAAACGGAAAAACATCACGTGTTTTTAAAATGTTAGGAAATTTACATATTCTTTTTTTTTTACCAATTGGGATCATTATATTATCAGTTATATATATATCAGTTACTTTATAACCAGGCTCTCGCTCTTCAAAGATCTGTTATCATAACATTGAGCCACGATCACCCAGTGTTGCCAAAAATGAGGGATGGAAGGAAAATCAATGTTGTTTTGCGTTTGAAGTTTCCCGCCGAATGAGGACCACTTCTAATTTTATGTTTTGTGCTCCTATCCAATGCACTTCTGAATCCGGCGCAGGCTGTACATGTTAGAGTTTAACAAATCTTACTCAATTTTCGAGTCGGAAGTGAGTGGTTTTCCTTAGAGAAAGTCCTTTTTGAGTTTAGTTGGTCTACCATGAAAATTGTGAATGGTAAGGCATCATTCGTGGCATTTTTGTCTGAGTAAAGTCCTTAATTTTTAAGAATGCTTTTGAACACATACATCTTTTTTTAGTGGGCCTCCTTTCCTGAAAGGAAAGAGACCACTTATAGTCCCGTCTCTGTCCGTCCATGTGTCCGTGTGTCAGTGTATCACACTTTGGTTGTCCGACGATAACTAAAAAAATATTGGTCTGATCAATCCGAAAATTGGTAAGCGGGTAGATATAAACAATATACAGGCTGAGTTCGTTTCATAGTGAATTTGCACAAAAATTGGGATATTTATTGCAAATTTCGGATTTGAAATTTGATCGCAGAGAGGAAGTAGTACCCGCTCGCCCTTCAGGTTCCGGACCAAAATGCGCAAGCGCGTGGGACCCAGGCTTTGGGCGTGGCACCGTGTCAGCAACAAGATATGTCAATTCTCTACCAGCCTTCGTGCCGGATGGATCCAACCCCGTACTCTATCCTCCCATTACCGTTTCATGGGCACCGTTTGTTTATGTTTACCAAATACAGTGGAAATGAGAAACGAGGTTTTTGATTGTCGAAGACCATCAAAAGATGCATTGCATTTTGTTCAATTAGGTGACAAAATGAGGGTTTCCTTAAGAAGGCCCATTACTGGACTGGGCTAGCCCAACTTGTTCATATCCGTGTTGTTGGAACTTTTTCCAAGCAGCTTTTTGCCACTTCTTTCCAGTTCAAACTCATAGTTTACCAATAAATACTTTTACACACTTCAGAGGAACTCATCCCCAGAGAATGGCAACTGAAATGTGAATATTCAGAACAAGGTTCATTCTCCAATTACTCATCAATTATCTATTATTGATTTGTTCATAATTTGAATCTCCAACTCCAACCGGACATCGCTAACTTTTCCCATCCTTCCAAAGGATTGGATAAGTCTGTCTTTCTCCTCTTTTCCTTGTATAGAGTTGTTATGTAGAGTTTCACAAGTCTCAATTCGTCGTCATCTATGAGTTTTTGCGGTCTTCCCCTGGGCTCATTTTGAAGACTTTCATCACCTTTGCTGAATTTTTTATACCACCTGCGAATAGTCCGTTCGTTAGCACTTCCTTCTTCAAAAGCAACATTAATGTTTCTTGCTGCCTCCAACGCACTATGGTTCAATTTATACTCGTATAAAAAAAGATCACGAATTTTCTTGTGAAGAAACCATTTTGAAGTATCTAAAAAAACAAAATAACGGTACAATAGAATTAACTGGAAATGACGTATTCTTGAGCACCTCTTACCTCTTCTAACTCTGTATAGCTCTGATATAATTTTAAGAATTTCTGTATTCACAATCGCGATCACTTGTTAAGTAACCGAAAATCGGACATTTCATACCTAACGACCTAATACCTGCTGACGACCCTATCCTAATACAAGTCACAGAAAGCAGCACATGGATATGGAAAAGGGGTGTATGGGCTCTTACGCCCTTTATACAGAGAACTCCTCAATTCTTGGGTAAGTATCGCTTGACAGGAAATTTCCAGGCTCACAACCAAGGTAATGATGGATCGACTACGGTCACTGTGGACGAGTTCGGCAAGAGGACCGAGAGTGGCCTCATTGCGACTTGTGGATGGCCGGCCATTCCGCTCGTCATCTTCATTTGAAGTTGCGACCTTCGCGAAATAGTTTTCTGCCTTTTGCACACACGAGATTTGTTCAAACCAAAATCTCTGCAGATTGCTGCTAGGTTGCTGTGACCTATTTAATAGCCTTTGCGTAGCATTTGATAACCGCACGTTATTCTAATTGTGACATTGTAGCGAATAAGAAGTGTCCAACGCAGCGTGAACTCCCAATGCATCATGGTTACTAAGGCAACACTATTTCTCGTTCCCCCTTCCCAAGACCATGTTCTTACTATACCAGCAACCACAAGCCCTGTACTATTACCATTTAGAACCACGAGAGTTGGTCCTGCACGATTTGATGGTTCCTCGCATGCTACATTCGGAACCAAAAATATTATAACAATGAAGAAAACAATGAAGTGCTGCCATTCCATCTTCGAAACCCTATACTCATCACATCGCATTTGCTAGAATGGACCTTCAATAAATAGTTTCCCACATTAGGCCAGCCGTACACTGATGAAATATTCTAGCGAATCGCAAATAATATATGTTTAATACATGATACATTGGATGAAAAAAAAAACAATTGTGTACACCGCACACTAAGGGATTCATTTAATAGCTTGATTTTATAGCATCATTCTCGTGAACTTTTCAAGCGACTGTCACGAGAGATAAGAGTTGGTAGGTGAGAGCAATGTATGAGCAATGAGCAATGTTCAAATGAAAAGGGGACTTTTAGTCTCCAACCTTTGGCTATCCTTAGGTTACACTAAGGCTATGAGTAACAGACATCCCCGTTTCATTTGAACACCCCTAGTATGTGGAATGTAAATCTCAGGAATTTCCCTGCCTTTGGGTGCGCGGCAGTGAATCACTTTCGAGCCCATTTCCCCAATCCTTTTGCTTATTCCATCAATCATCATCTGTGGCGGCCGACCTTACATTTCATGGACGGAATTATGCTTGGATGTTTTCCAGTAGGTGCAATTAGGAATTACATGTTCGGTTTGTTGCATCAACTCATTTTCCGTGATATTGTACAGGAGGGAATCTTTTTCAAATACATTTTTAGGACCAAAATTATGATCTTGCATACAATTCTTAACTTATCTTATCTTATCTAATGTGCATAGTAATTTTCCACGATTCTCAATCGATATTCGGAGTCAGCTTTTTGTTGGTCCAGTTAGCTCTTCATTGTTAGGAAAAATCATGGAACTCACCAAACAGATCGATGTGTCCATTTCCTAGTGAGAGGTCTTCCAGAATTGGGCGAAAGGATTCCTCTGTCAGTTCCTCAATCTCATTGCCCCATAGATCAAGGTGAGCGTGAGCAGTAAGACCTGGATTGAATGAAGAGAATAAGACGAGGAACCTCGACTGCATAGACAACATGATACTGCTGTTAGTAATTTCTTGTTTTTGCTTATGAGTCTCTCCAGAAACTCCCCTTACCCAGCTGATCGAATCTGAGCAAAACGGGTTTCGATGGAGAACTCAAACTCCCAAAATGTAAACTTATTTTTATTCCGTCGCAACTCATTCTAAAAATGTAAAGTTCACTGTACGCTCGCAAACGTCCTATCGGCTAGGCGGCTCGATAGCGTGTTTAGTTCCCGTGACGTAGGAATTAGGCTCGAAATTGACCTCGTCACGCAAACCTTTCTCCTTTGGGTTTCTCAAACCCAAACCGCGGACCCCGGATTGTTCGAGAAAGGAGACCCACCAGTACGAATCCCTCACGTCTCAATATTCGAGACGCTAAAGAACCTCACTGGTGAAGGCCAAACCCAGATGTAATTTCCCCAGAGGACACAACGAACCATAAATTGGATCTGCAACTACTAGAAATTATTTGGGCAATCTTAAACAAGTAAACATTAGGTTTGGGCTAAATTGTAAAGAAGAATATATTTAAACTTTAGAGCGAAGGCTCATGCACAGGATTTGCAGGTAAATCAATCGTATTGTACCTTATCGCATGAATCCGGCTTTTTGTACACATTCAAGTAGGGAAGAATATGAATCGTTTGTATTATGCTCACTTCCTATGCTCGCTTATTTGCTTAAAAAAAAACATTTAGCCCATTGTGACAAAATGCCTCTAGGTACAATGACCAATGGGAACTAAAACAGAAACAGCAATGGGAGTGTGCAGGATTTGGTGGTGACGGCGTTCTCACATCCCGAACAAGATGGGGAGGAGGGGAGGTTTATTCCATCGTCCCTCCTTCTTTGAAAGGAGCGTGCGTACAAGTTATAGGGTGAAGCCAATAACAGTTCGATCAGATGCACCAGTTAGTTTGATAATAACAGGTGCGCAGAAAAAAACACGCCAATGACTCAAGGCTGAAAAGTATGAGTCAGTAAAGCTACGGGGGTGTATATTCCAGCAGGTACACGTCTACATTCGGTTTCTAATTTATTTTCCCCAAAAATTTGTTTCAGCAGATTCAGCTGCATACTTTCATGGGTAAAATGATTAGAAAGTTTCGCTAGTCCAAAGGAGTTAATAGAAATTGACCTGCTACGAGACCCCCTTGCACCTGCATGAAACTGTTTTTTTTTTCGATTGGAGAATTTTTCCCTAAAGTACACACATTCGTCCAATAAACAGACTTAAACTGGGCTCAAGTGCTATAGAAATCCAATATTTGCACATTTTACATTTTTGATGCAGGTTTGAGTGGCCTCGTGACCTTGTTGCAATTGACATAACAAAGAATCATTTAAAGAGTCGTTAGAGTCCTTTGATTTAAAAAAATAACAAATGTCATGTAGTTAAGAACAAGTAAATTTAGTTCACTCTTACTATTCCAGTGCATTTTCCGAGTTGCTGCCCGGGGCAGATATTCTGCAGGTCAAACCTTAAAATTATAATTTAAGAAATATTTGCAGGTTTTCATTTCAGTTCATTTTTTAACAAGGCATGTCTAATGTACCTGTGATGGCTCCTGGTTCCACGAATGTGATGTTATTATGAAAGAGATACAAATATTCCAAGGTCGCACCAGGAAACTCCATTGACCCGGCAGCAAGAATTGGTCCCAGTTTGCACGATATGCAATCGAACGCAACGATGTTTTCCAAGCCGTCAAAAAAACCAGTAGGGAGCTCCGAGATGGGATTATAGCCTGGATGAGGAGGAAGAAGGCTGGTATGAGCCACATGTATTCGCATATTATATCTTCAATATCCACTTTCCTGCACCTGAGCTCTTTTCAATACTTGGAATAGTATGCACTTTTTTCTGAATCACTTTATTGCATGGTTCTGTTATTAACAGTTTGCATCTATTGGAATTCTACAAAGCACAATGTCACTGACACTACAAAGGGAGATTCAGTAGCGCCTGTGCTAAATCACGAGTAGCCCTTTTTCCGCCCAAAATAATCCCTTCCTCGGAAATGATAAAAACGTTCGGATAGAGGAAAATGAGCCTGATTAGAGCGGAAACTACAAGGATTGAAACCGCAAACGATCGGCTTATTCTATAACCATTTCACTCACTTAGGTCTAGATAATTCAAGTTGGGAGTATTCCATCCAACTTCTAGCGTGGATATATGATTTTCCCCTAGGAAGAGGTATTGGAGAGCGGAGCTTTCAAGAACCGGCACAGTTGTCAGAGCATTAGAAGATATTCCGAGGGAAGTGATATTGGTAAGTTGAGGCACGATGTACCAAGGGAAGTCATGAAGGATGCCACCATAAATGTGAAGTCCTTGGAGTCTATCTTTTGATTGCAGTATGGCCTCTGGATGAATGGTCATTAAGTTCCATGCATCGTACACATCTATGTACTGGAAAGAGACATCTCCAAAGACTCCTTGCGGGAGCTCCGTCAACCCGTCACTGTTCAACACCGTGAAGGCCCTGGGAGAAGAAAAAATAATATGAAACCTGCTTTAAATGTTGTTAATTGGAATGCCTCGTAATTCTCTATTGAAAGACGGTTTCGGAATTTCTGGACTTGAATGGGCGCGCGCAGGACTTTGAAATTCTTTGATAACTACTCAATGAAAAATCTTAATATGCAGAGGAAAGTAACTGTCATCATGTGGCCAATATACGAATTTGAATCATATCGAGAACTGAAAAGGTGCTTGTGAGTGAGTTTGCAAAGAACTTTCATGTCCTTTGGTTCTTCTCAAGTGAACATTGTGTCTTCCTGTGGACAGAAATGAAATGCATTTTGAAAGGGTTAGTTATCGTAACATTCACTGTTTCAGCATGAGCATGTTATTGTATGTGTGCAAGGAAAGTAAAAGTTACCCAATACACATGAATTATTTTAAAAAAATTCTATTCACGAAGAGGAGGTGAATAAACTTCACAAAAACTACAGGAGACAGCCACACTTTATATATCCATCCTAGTCAGTTAACGTTCTAATTACTAACATGTTTTGCAATCATTCCATATCCCCACTCTTACATCACATGCTACTCCATTGCATGCCTTATCATCACCACATCACCTAACCCCTGCTTGAACCCTGCTCATGAATAATGCATGCGATGGATAGGGGCTTCTTAATGACGTTTCTCGCGTTTGTAGAAAAGGGGGCTTCATAGCCAGTCTCCCTAATTTTTTCCTCCAACTGCATGGGAAAAGAACGTTGGCGGTCTTGTGCTACCACACCTTAAGCGGAAAATCTGCCCATATCAGTTACGAATACTCGTACTTGCAATCATGAAAGAAATGTCAAAATAAGCATTCTTCACTTCTTTCATACTAGGGCCTTCACGTGGATGAAGTACTTGAATCAGAGAAATGTAGCAATGACCGCACGAGAGTGAAAGCAGTGGCATACAGAAAAAATTAAGATAAACTGTATTCCATGCGTAGGTGCTGCTCACAGGATCACGCCGTTGTAACTCCATCTCACTTCTGCCAATCCACCAGGAAAACCCTTCCTGTGATGACGTCACAACCGCGTGACGTGTAAATCTCCGCCCTTCTTTAATGAGGCCGGCTATCGGCACAACATCTACATTCTAGTAGCCTTGCACGGAATCCTTAAAGCGGTCTGTCGAAGAGGAAGTTTCTGGGGAGGGGGATATCATTGGCCATTTGTATATTCGCCTACGCGCGCTGATGAGTTAGAGATATGATCTTTTGTTGGTTGTGACATCCACACCCCATCTGTTGTCTCATTTTAAAGTTTGCAGAGAAAATTCATTTTTTCAACCTTAAATCAACGCTTAATGAACAATGGTTCAATGTTGAAATGAAAAAGGTTTTAACAAGCTGTTTAAGTCGTGCGCATGCGTGATTTCATTGAAATGGTACTTTCCGGATATCATCTCGATGCGATTTCAACCCTCCTAAGTCGTTTTTAAAGATCCCCCTCTGTAAGGTCAACGTGAACTCTATGAGAAGATAAGACAGATGCTTCCCAGTCCCGCTGAAGCTAGAGGACACTGGAGCGATTGGAGTTAAGAAGTAGAATGTAGAAGTAGAAAAGTAGAATATTTTAACCTTGAAGGAGTCGGTTTCTCAGCAGATCTTTTGTCGGCTGAGAGGATACTGTATTATTGACCCTACTCTGCAAGATCCAAGAAGAAAAATGATTCCTTCAAGGTTAGAGAATTCATCTCAGCATTCTTTTCAATTTTAATACCCCTTCAACAGACTCCTTGATAGCTCATTGGAAAAAATTCATAGAAGCTTTCCATCACATAGACAAATAAGTTGAAAATTTTTCATTCATCAAATACATCTATCTTTCTATGAAAAATATGAATGGTGCCTTAGGGGAAAAACACTTTTTGAACAACCCTCGTAAATATCCTCCCAAGCGATCTGCAGGATTAGAATCTAGATTTCTCTTTTTGAGTCAGGGCGACGCGTCCTCATGGAGTGACACGATCGCGTTTATTCCCTTGGTCTGTATTATCCTGCTCGGAATTACGCTGGATTTTGTTCGGTTGGGTTGCCTATTTCGTCGAACAAATCCAGGAAATGAAATGCTGGGTGGTAAAAAAAATTATTCCACCCCCCATTTGTTATCCTGCAACATTATTTTTTACTCACTTCTCTTTTATATTACTGGTTTGGATAGCTGAGAATGTGCGTATCCCGTCAAAATGTCGAAAACACACATGTCGACTGTCCGATTGTCGATTACCAACTATGTCGAATTCCTGAACGGCGAAGGAATGAAACGTTAAAAGTCAAAATGTCGAAAGATAGAAAAGACGAAATGACTTTTATTTATTTTGTCAATGAAGTCTTAAAAACTCGTCATGTCGAACACGGGAAAACTGCACTTGTTCCAGAAAGAAAAGCAAACTCATTGGCGGTTATAAATGTGATTACCTCTGACATGCCGCATTCAAAACTGAACATTATGTGCCACTGCACGCAAGTAACATGCACTTCGCGGTCGGGGTAGGAAGAAACAATTTGATGAATGCGTTTTTCCCTCGATTCTTCAGCTTTCGTGCGGGATATCCTGACAAGATTATTTCCATCTCTCGCGCTTGAAAATATTCCTTTCAGCAGCTTGAAAATATTCCTTTCAGCAATTTGCATTTGTGAGGAAGTGCGCTTGTTACTGATGTAATCAACTCCGCCAACGCTTACTGATGCAGACAAATGATAAGGGGAAGGAACGTAAGGAAGAGAGTGATTTCCTCTGGCAAAATGCCTTCCAGCAGAATATGCATGGGGTCACAGAGTAGATCCCTGGTGATGGAGTAAAATGGTATCTCAAGAAGAATGCTTCCACTCTAGACACCAAAATATTTTGATAAGGCCTTGTATTGAACAAGAGCTTGTGGCTCCCAGTGCTTTTACAAGCTGTTTGTGTTGCTCATCTATGTGAAGGGGGCACTCATGTGAGTGAAACTTACTAGTCTCAATTAGGCCTGTTCTGCATGGCTGATAAACAGATGGAGAGAAGCATTCCTTGAAACCAGCAATATTGTGGCAGGCAAGTGAATCCCCAACATAGGCAAGAACCACTCCATAGAAGGTTTTCCCTCTTTGAGTTGAGATGAATTTGATTCCTGAAGTGGCTAGCAGCAGGGGGGGGGGGAAATGAAGTCATTTAAAGCTCAGCCTTCAATGCTGTTAATTTCACAGCAACAGTGTGGTGCAATGAGGTGTATGTGCTTCAAGTGAGAGCTGTGAATAAGTGGGACATTCAAGAGAGGGATACAATACCCTAGTGCTTTTGCACAATTTCTTGGTCTCGTTCAATCTGTCCTAAAGGAAAATGACTGCTTTCTAAAATACCTCATGACTGCCAGGTTAAAGCATCTAATCAAAACTCTGGTGATTTGAGTCTCTCCGATGCAGTTTTGCATTGTCTTTCATTAACTTATAAATATTTCAATGATTTTTAGCAAGTCTTTCAGTCATTTTCCACATTTTTAATGGTGTCTTTGTGATTTCTTTTTAATAAATTTTTCCTGACTAAGGCATTTCTTACTGATTTCATCTTTTCACAGTACTCTGAACTCTACCTCACGATTATTTCAAAGCACAAAGCCAGAATATGTGATACCTCTAACAAATCAGCTCATTTGGCATTTTTGAAAACTATTCTCAAAAGTAAAAAAGTGAGAAAAATGTTTTAAAAACTAATCAAGATAAAAAAAATGCCCTATTTCACCTCTTCTATATTAATGTCAATTTCTCCAGAATTATTTAGAGAGGCGCGGGTGGTGAATTTAAGCGTGAAAGTTTGGAGGAAAGGCTGAGTGTCACTCTTATATAAGAGTGAGTGAACGTTGAGAGTCACTCATTTAAGCGTGAGTGAGCGATGAGAATCGCACTCATTTAAGCGTGAGTGAACGCTGAGAGTCACTCTTATTTAAGCGTGAATGAACGTTGAGAAGGGAACGTTGAAAGTCACTCATTTAAGCGTGACACTTTTGACAATTTTGTGAAGCTTAATTAGCTTCCCTTTCAGCGTGATGAGAGTAAGAGTGCATTGATTGCAATCCTGTTCGCTTCGTCCGTAAAGACCATCTCCATCACTTTGCGTGCAAGTCTATGAGCGAAATATACGGATATGGATACGGGATGGCAACGACCCAACCGGCGGCATCCTTGCCATCCAAGAATAAGCCATCCTGTTCTGTCCCACCCTGATCGGATCCCGCCGCTTTCACCCTCTAGAGTTACTCTCCTTCGCACGGAGGAAAACGGGACTCGAAGTGTAGTGCGAGGGTTTTCCTGCATGAAACCTCACATCGAGGTGTGCACATCCTTTAATTAAGGAGGGGGGGGGGGGGTGCGCAAGTCGTACAATGACTCTCCTATTCTCAAGAACGGATCCGACTGTTGCGAAGGCTGGAGAGAAAGTGCGAGTGTGAGACGGACCCAATCCGCGAGTGTCTTCCACGAACTGTTTCTCGGGAATCCCCAAGCTCAGCCAGCAGCCCTAAAACTCAACGGCCCTCTCAAAGATATAAAGCAGCACCACCTCCATCCCGTTCTCGAGAGTGAGAAGCTAAGCGTGTCGTATATTCCGATATTCACGAGTTCAGTCAGCGGCTCCATGAACGCTCTGCGTAGCAGCCGCTGACAACGTACGTCTTGGGCATCCCTCTCCCCCTTATTCACGGGGTGTTCATGCCTATGATACGGACTTATATCGAGTGGCACTTATCCCGTATCGATCTTGACGATGTGCGTATCGTCGGTGATGTCCACTCCAAGGATGGACTATGAGTGAAATATACCCTAAAGAAACGGGATGCTTACTACGCAGACGACGGCATCTTTCCGATCCGAGGGTTCCTGTGTCATACAGGTGGGATCCCGCCGTTTTCACCCTCGCGAATCACCCTCCTTGTGAGAATGCCGATTAATAAAAGGACGGGGTACTGCTTGATGAAGGGGTCGAGATCCCGATAAATCTAGGATCTGATGGTAAAATATGTGATGATGAGGATCTCATCCCGCAAGGAAGTCATCCTTCCGTGTGGGATGAAAGGGGACTTAAGTGTATTACGCAGGGACTTTTTACACGTCCCTGCTGTCCGTATCGAATCCTTGGGTATCGGAAGCGGGGAGTGTGCGTAGAATGCATCTCTCCCTTTGTAATGTTATTGGATAACATGGAAAGGAAAAAAAATTGAATTTGGTTGGTGGTATAGAGGAAAAGTGCGTGTCCGCCAAATAGGAGGCCCTGGAATCGATTCCAGGCCGCAATATTGTTTTCCTTTCATCATGCCATCTGAAATCTTCCCTCCCCCCCCCCGGCTATTACGTTCTCGAAAATAGATCCGATAGTTGCAATGGCCGGAGGGAAGGTGCTCGTTCCAGAGAGCGAGACGGACACCTGGAGCCGGGCAGAAGAAGGCGCCGCGGGTGCGCACATGTCACTGCGGATAGACGCCCAAGCATCTAATATATGTAGACGATCGTAACTGACTGACTGACGATAATTCTAACCATGTTCTAGAAAGGTTAGAAATCTGAAACTTGGTACCCATGTACCTATTGGGATGGAGAGTTCAGAAAAAATCTGACTTTGGAGGTACATGCCCTGGGGGTACACATTTTGGGGAGAGAAGTTTTTTTTAAATATATACTCGTATTGTGACGGATGAGAATGGCATCGAGAGGCACAGATGTCCCGGTTTCAGTGGTGTAGCGGTAGCACACCTGACCGGCCAACGGGAGGCCTGGGTTCAATTCCCGGCCATTCCATGGCTTCTTTTTGGCTTCTCTTGCCTGCCATGTTCCCTTACTCATTCCCCCTCCATAATATTATTTTTGCTTGAATAAAACGGAGAGACTTGGAAAGCTGAAACCTGGCATGGACATGCCTACCGAGACAATGAGTTCAGGAAAAATGCAAAATTTTAGGTCCATGCCCTGGAACCAACGTTTTCAAGTATGTTTTTTTGTCCTGGCATATTGAACTAGTGTGGAAAGATGAAACTTGGTACATAACTACCTATTGGGATGCTGCATGTAGAAAAATTCAGACTGGAAGTTGATGCCCTGGGGGAACAAATTTAAAAGGGAGCTGTTTTCATATAATTTTGTTTGCATCAGTTAAACTGATGAACATGGAAAGCTGGAACTTTGCATAAATGTGACTACTGAGACAAGAAGTTAAAGAAAAATGTTAAGTCTCGATACACCCCCAGGGGGAATATTTCGAAGGGCGATGTTTAAAA